GTCAAAAGTATTTGGGAGCTTGTATCTAATCCTTAAAAGATTTTAGGATTACCTCTTCAGAGGGGGGAACATTGGAGGGGAGGGAGTGGGCATGGATTTGATCAAAACAGCTTATATACATGTATGAAATTCTCAATAAAGTTTTTGTAAAAGTTAAAAAAATTTCAGTTAAAAAAGAACTACTTTTTAAATTTATTTCTATTTTATGTGTCTGTTGCCTGCACGTATGTAGGTGTACCACGTGTGTAAATGCCCATGGAGGCCACAAAGTGTGTGTTGGATTCCTGGGAACTGGTTGTAGTTGCCATGTGGGTGCTAGGAACCAAACGAACCCAGGTCCTCTGCATGCAAAAGACGCACATGTTCTTAACCACTGAGCCAGTTTTCCAGTCCGGAAATTAATTATTGATTCATGTAAAAACTTGAAAGAGGGGCTGGAGAGATGGCCCAGTGGCTAAGAGCAATAGCTACTCTTGCAGAAGACCTGGATTCAATTCTCAGCACCCACATGGCAACTAAAAACCATCAGTAACTCCAGTTCTGACTCCCTCTTCCGACCTCCATGGGCACTGCACAACACGGGTACACTTACACGCAGACATAACACTCATACACATAAAATAAAAATAACAAATGAAAATATTTTTTAAAAACTTGAATGGATCTCAGAATTATGCTGTGGAAAAATGCTGGTATCAGGCTTTCTACTTCCTCGTACTGGTCCATATTACTATAGTTGGAAAATAAATTAATGGTTGTCAGGGACTTCAAGGGAGGAAATACTATAAGAGAACCATGAGGGACCCTTGTCATACAATTGAGTGCATCTTAACATATACATACAAAAAAAGCTTACACAAGAGAGACAACTGCACAGAACTTACAACAGACACATAAGCACACACCCAAGGAAGGTTGGTGGGTTCTACCAATCTCCATCTTCTTGGGGATTGTTCTAGTTAGCTTTCTAAGGCTGTGATAAAACACTCTGATCAAAACCAACTTGGGGAGGAAAGGGTTTATTTGGCTCACACATCCAGATCACAGTTTATCACTGAGGGAAGCCAGGGCAGGGGCCGGGAGACAGAAGCTGAAGCAGAGACTATGGAGGAACGCTGCTTACTAGCTTGTTCCTCATGCCTGTGCTCAGCCTGCTTTCTTAGACAACCCAGGACTACCTGCCTAGGTGTGCCACCACCCACAGTGGGCTGGGCTCTCCCACATCACTCAACAATCAAGAAAATGACCCACACAGGCCAGTACAATAAAGGAAATTCCTCAGTTGAGGTGCCCTCTTCCCAGGTGGGTCAAGTTCACAACTGAAGCCATCCAGCATAGCAATACCATTCTATAGTTATGCAAGTTGTTGCCATGAGGAAAAATTCTGTAAAGGGGATAAATGATCTTTTCATACCACTTCTTACAAATGCATGTGAATCTTTACATCAAAATATAAAAGTTTACACGTTTTAAATATGATGGTAGCTGAACACAACTAAGAACAAAATAAAGTGTATTAGTAACTATGTTACAGATGAGGAAATCAATGGTTAATTGTGCATTTTCTCAGTTTACTTCCATGTGGACATATTTTCATTTCAAACGTTGAATAGATTGGATTAGGCACAAGATGAAATTTAACATGAAGGGAACAC